AGTTGATTGAGAATTACTAAACAGCATAACCACAGAAGTACCTTAAATACATGGTAGAAAACTAAGTTATTGTTTTCGTTACTAATTACCAAGGACCGGATTTTAGGCAAAATGCCGTTTCGTTTCTATTTCAGGCATTTGTTTGGGACCTTGATATTAATCCTAAACTTAAAAAAATAAGGGTGTCAAACCTTTTTTTTTGCCTAAAAGCCTAAAATGGCGAAATTTTGATTTAGGTTCCTAAAAGGAAATTTTTATGAGCCTAAAATAGGCTCTTTTAATTTTTCAGAAAAAGTATATTTTTCAATGCTAAAAATTAATTTATTTTTAATTAGGCCCTGCTTTCTTGCTCTTATTTCGCCTAGACGGCCTTGGCGAGTACGAGGACCACATATTACAAAACTAGTGAAAATCTAATGAAAAACGTAATTGTGTTTTTATATCTAAATATTTATTATAAATAATTATGGATAATATTAAGTTTGTATGTAATGGTTAAACATTATTATTTACTTTGTTTTCATAGGTTTTATTGTAATTTCCATATATGTATTACGTTGTGTTAACCTGTTCTCTTCGTTTATTATTGTTTTTGTGTTGCGTTGAAACTTGTTTTGTTTGTGTTTTAGTTTGTGTCGGGCCATTTGCATTTATTAAAATGCGCTGTGGCATATTTGTATGCAATTTGGACAACCAGTCCAAGAAAAACCCTTTAAATAAGCAGATAATTAAAGATTTAAAAATACTCAACGTGACGTATTTAAGCCCCGCCCAACATGCGCACATACACTTAAGGTGTATATAGCAATTGTACCTTTTCATAACAACAAACGGTCATGCGCGGTACAAACGGTCATCAATTATATTTGGACACGTCCTCAAGATCACATTGTAGTACTTACTTCCTTTCTCACTGAAACTGTTTGTTCAAAAAAATTGTTATTTGTGCCTTTTGGATACAACATTTGTTTTACTTTTTTAAAGATTCCTATTCAAAATAACAGAGAAAATTGTAAAAACTTTGTTTTTAAGTATTATCGAGTGTATACTATTAAGAATATGGTCTTAAACTACTTCTTTTGGGGTTTAAATATAATAGTCTAGCCCTACGAAGATCAAAATCGCAGATTCAATTTCTCTACAAAATAATACATTTAACTTATATGTTAAATTAACATTTATCACGCTTTGGGATCTAGACATATAACCAAATTTTCCATCGCAACCCCTCAAACAGATATTCCGGTTTAATTACGACTTCAACAAATTATTCTAAATTACAATAAAATCGACGGCCATATACATATTTTTTGCAATATTATTGTTATATACCATAATTCTTTTTTTGTAAATACAAATATTCTATAATTCGACTTGCCTGCAGAATATTAATTAAAATAAATAATTAATTTAGTAAGTTAAAACGTTATATTTGTATATATTCTGATTTATTAGGCATTTATTTTTGTCCCTAACCTTAATCGCCGAGGGCGCAAACTCGTGGTCCATCTATAATCCCGTATGAGGATAGTTGGACCAATGATATGGAGGAGAGAACTATTTACGTCCTTTTTACGTTTTGAAAATACCGATCACGTATATTCGCAACGCAAATGAAAGAATCTGAAAAAGTTATTCTAAATGATTCTGAAGAGGACAAAGAAAAATTAAGCGACTTTGAAAATGTTTACGTTAAGTTGGTTTCTTGATGGCTGTTAGCTGTGATCAAGTTGGAAAAACTGAGTAAATATTAATTTTTTATATAAAATTGGAACTACCGTTCTCCTAAAACTTTTACATTTTTTTTTAAATTGCCCCTATTCTTAATAATTAATCAAAGTTAAATTTTAACTAAAAGGTATGTCAATGACATAGATACAATTTAGGTGTAATAATTAAGTAATACCTACTGCAATTTCCTTAATAAAGAACTGTAGCTCATAGAAAAGTTTTATTGCTACTGTTGTTGTCATACGAAACCTTTAATATTAGTTTTTATTTAATGGGTATAATTATACGTATATATACGTAAAACATTTTATTTAGCATAAGTATCTGGCTCCCACTGAGAATACCAAAGTGTGTCTTTCCTACACCCAGTGCCTGACTGATACTAGTTAGCCGTTTGCAAATGCCTATTATAGCATCAATACATAAAAATAGTGTTACACAATGGCGCCCAAGGTATTATTATATCTGTGTTTAATAAACATGAGTAAATATTAATTTTTTATATAAAATTGGAACTACCGTTCTCCTAAAACTTTTACATTTTTTTTTAAATTGCCCCTATTCTTAATAATTAATCAAAGTTAAATTTTAACTAAAAGGTATGTCAATGACATAGATACAATTTAGGTGTAATAATTAAGTAATACCTACTGCAATTTCCTTAATAAAGAACTGTAGCTCATAGAAAAGTTTTATTGCTACTGTTGTTGTCATACGAAACCTTTAATATTAGTTTTTATTTAATGGGTATAATTATACGTATATATACGTAAGTCATTTTATTTAGCATAAGTATCTGGCTCCCACTGAGAATACCAAAGTGTGTCTTTCCTACACCCAGTGCCTGACTGATACTAGTTAGCCGTTTGCAAATGCCTATTATAGCATCAATACATAAAAATAGTGTTACACAATGGCGCCCAACGTGTTATTATATCTGTGTTTAATAAACAAACACTGTTTATTAAACACGCCATAATTAAGCCCATAAGGTTACACAGGTCCTTCTCTCCTACTTAACTATAGTTGGACTAGTTTTTTTTTGTATTGCATGTTACTATTTAAACTTACATGGCAAATATTATTTTTAAGATGTAGTTTAAATGTTTCTCTATATTTTATAATTATTTTTTTAATTTTACACTGTACTTATGTAATGTAATAAAACATGTTCATAGTTTTTTAAAATAAAAGTCTTTACATCGCCATCTCGGTAACTCCTCCAAACTTTTTGGAAACCGGAAATATTTGGGTATTCTAAGATCTAAAAGTAAGTAGGTACTTAGCGTTCATAAGTCTTATTGTAAATCAGTTATATCCAGTCCATATTTACGATTAAACGCATCGAGAAATCGAACTAATACCACTAAAGCATGAGATTAGAGGATATAAGAGCTTTACCTTTGTAGGTACAGTGGTGGACACGGAATTTCGAACATCATAATTTGGTTGTCCTTGTATGATTAAAATATCAAATAAATATTAAATATTAAATATCGTAATTTACTGTCAGTACTATACACAAAATGACAAGAATAGTGATAACTGAAAGTAAGGTTAGTTGTCCATAAAGGAACTTTCGATTTTAATGTCAACGGAATGATAGTCGTTCAAAATTCCATTAAATAAATACGCCTTATAGATGTTTTACCTACTTAAGTGATTATGATTAAACATTATTTGGATTATATTAGGAATCGTAGTAATTAGGATAATTAAAGCATTAATGTACTACTACTATTAAGTGCAGATTTGCATTTTGGTAAATTTAGTCTTAATTTATTCTGAGATGTCTTATGCCAAATACCATTTATGCAGAGTTGGAAATTTTCATATATGTAAATAATTTTTTAAATATGTTTGTTCTTAAATGACATACATTTATTTTCTATAAATACACTGTGCTAGTTAAAAAAAAACAACAGACAGGGCTCATACAAATATAATTCAGGTCCCCTTAGTACAATGGTGATATAAGGCAAAACACGCCAAACCTGCCAACTATTTGCCTCGACATCAGCGATTTTGACCATATTTGGAACAGTTGTATATATAAACGAGTTATGTACAATACTTTATTGACGCGTTTTGTATATACAAATCGTTAAAGTAGGCCGGTCAGGGTTTACATTGGTTTAGTAATCAGCTTATATATTTTACAAAAAATAACCAATTTTAAAAAACAAAAATGATTTCAATTACCTTTTTATGGTGTAGTTCATGGCCTACTTTATTTTTTTTTTAATTCTTTAAAAACATTTTGTCAAAAAATAAATATTGATTTTTTATTATAAATACCATTTTTTTGCGTATTTTTAGGATTAAAGTATCCCAAGTCGATTTTCACATAGGATGGGATAAATAAGCTATGACCTCCACAAAGGTCAAAGTGTGCTCGTGTTATGACACTTACTTGGCGTATTTGCTTGTGTTGGGTTCGGGAATATTTTTATTCGTTTTTTAATATTTTATTTGTTTGTTATGATTTTTGCATTAATTTAAACTGCTGTATTCAAAAAGAAATGGGGTCTCTCGTTTTTATAGGTTGTAGCAAAACAAGAGTTTACAAGTGGTATAAGCATTTCCAAAATGAAATATTCTTTTTGGCATACATCGGATTTATGAATATTCATTATTTTTTTCATTTAAAAGGCGTATTAAATACAGCGTTTTGTTAAGAGATAAAAACCAATTCTGGGTCCCCCCAAAGGAACTCGCTGTCATAACAGCGCCTCATTCGTTTTTATAAAAGCAAACTTTTAAAACTACTTTATTATTTGTTTTTAAAATTTACGGTAGTAAAATAAAATTATATTATTAATGTTGTCGTTCCAATAAATGTAAGTCAATTTTTTTTTTAAAACAATAGTTACTTCCTATTATACAAATTAAAACCGTAATATAACGTATTTATTTACGTACATAATTTTATTTAACAATCTAAATTATACGTACTTAGGTATCAGGATAATAATTACCTTACTTGTTTTATGTAAATTAAACAGTCAATAAATCCATTAAAAGGCCAGACTATATTGACCACTTAGTTTTTTAAATATTTTAATATCAACCTGCCTCAAGAAATAACTATTTTTCTTAACTTAAAATTCAAAGAACCATTCAAGGTATCAAAAATAGTTATGTATATAATTATTTAATTAAATTAAATGATTAAATTAAATAATTAAATTAAATGATTAAACAGCGTTAACGCTGTTTTACTTAAAATATAAAAATGTATAAGATACTAGGCGATAATGTTAACTTACCAACCACATTGAGGTATCCCACCTGACTCTTCATGGGATCAGTGTTTATTTGACACATGTACCAACCCTTGTCACTTTCTCTGACTTCCCTTATATGTAAATACCAAGTTTTTTGTTCGCTGTGTGTAACCCCGATGCGATGGTTTTTCGTGATAACGTGGTTGTGTATCGTCAAGATTGTTTGCGTATCGACTCTAAGCCAGGCGACCTGAAACAAAAAAGGTGACATTGAGAATTACTTGATGAGTGATTAAATTGGAATATTTTTTTTCGCCTTTTACATGCTACCGCCATACATATGCTGGAATGAGAGGGCATAAAATATTATATACACAATTTAAATTTTTACATCCATGACAGTGTTATTGTGTAAAGGGAACATGTGTTTAGACAAATGTAGGATGAAAATTGAAATTGTTTTGTGCCGCATGTGCACAACTACAATATTGGCAAGAATTTCGCATAATTTTATTAGGTCCATGGCGTACATTCTGGCGTAGAAAAAAATCATGAGATATTTAAACAATATATACACTATATTAGGGTGGCCCAAAAAAAAATAATATTTTTTTTCTTCTCGTCTCTTGTGAAAATATGTTGGTTTGTCATGTTTTAAGAGCCCTTTCAAAATATCAGCTCGATTAAAAATTTTGTAGGGGTCGCTCAAGATTTTTAAAAAATTTCAAAATCGTCAAAAATTGAATTTTTGTTTTATTTTAATTCTTTTTCTCGTCTCGATATTATTTTTTAGGTTGAAAATAATAAAAATTCTGTAAATTTCAAATCAATATTTTTATTTCTAAAGGTCGCTAAAAGTTCGTTGATATTTATATTCAGAGGTCGCTCGAAAACATTCAAAATACTCTACTTTGAAAGTTAAAAAAATCTTGAGCGACCTTTAGAAATTAAAATATCGATTTGAAATTTTCAAAATCATTATTATTTTTAAATTAAAAAATAATATCGGAACGAGAAAAAAAATTAAAATAAAAAAAAATCCAATTTTTGACGATTTTGGTAATTTTTAAAAATCTTGAGCGACCCCTAAAAAATTTTTAATGGTGCTGATCTTTTGACAGGGCTCTTAAAACATGACAAACCAACATATTTTCACAAGAGACGAGAAGAAAAAAATATTCTTTTTTTTTGGGCCACCCTACACTATATACAGGGTGTAATGGACAATACCAATATCAATATTTTAAGGCTTTATCGCGATACTTCCTTTTATATATTGCGATGCTTGTAAAAATTCTTTGAATAAAAATTAGTTTTAGTAAAAAAACACTTTAATTTAAAAACAAACAAATAAGAATTCTTAGATTTATTTTATCAGTTGTTGAAAGTGGCCACCATTTACTCTAATACACTTTGTTAAACTTCTTTTTAAATGACGTCTTATTTTAAGTATTAATTCACCCAATTCGACATATGTTATTTGCGCCCTTTAGGAGTAGCATAAAAAGTTATGACAAATTTGTATATTTCGTCCTTAAAAACTATTCTTTACAAATTATAAATTTGATACATTGAATAGTTGTCCAAATATATAAAAAAATAAGACATACGACCTATTTTGATCTCCTATTTGTATAGTTGCTGTATTGTCCATTAGTTATGGGACACCGTGTGTATATATATATATATATATATATATATGGGTAATTCTATAGAAACTATCATTTTTGCTGTTACTGGTCAAAATTTTGACAAAACAAATTATTTTCTACAGTTGTATTTTTTTAAGAAAGATATACCTAGATTAACTATATTGGCTTCCTAAAGAATATTTAAAATTATACTTAATATTATTAAGTTGTAGACAAAAATCTTGTTAAAATATCATTACTCTGGCATGTTATAACTGGAGACGTCTAACATAAAGGCAGAATAGAAAAAAAACTATTCATATTCTTTAATTGTAACTTTTTATTTTTTATTTCAGAACCCTAAAATGTCAGTAAAACTAAGCTAAAAATATATATAACTTTTAAACCACCCTGTTAAAAAATATATCAAACCTGTTACCACCTTTAGAGCTCATTCCTCTGGTTTGTGTATGATACCTAAATATATGATCTTAAATGGCGGATAAGTCCGTGCACGCAACCAGAGATTCTTTTCCTAACCTAATTCTTGCTGCAAGAATCTTGCACTGAGCCGGCAAGCAAATATTTTCTGACAAAACAACACGTGTTTTTTTAAGTCTTGTTTTAATATTGTTAATGTCACACACAGACAGATCATTCCTCTGGTAAATGTATTTTGTTTATTTATATTTTTGTTGCATCCTTTATTTGATTTGAATACGAGATTATGGGTTTACTTTTCTGTAAACCAATTTGTTGGTTAGGGTTTGTTGTAATTTCTTCCCAACGTGAAATAAACTAAGAAGTCGTCATTCCTCTGGCACCATTCCTCTGGGATATTAAGAAATTGTTACAAATTATCGTATTACAAATTAGGAAAATTGTAAAAGGTGGCCGGCTACACATACCCAAAAGCAGTCTTAAAAAAAATTGAGAATGCCAAGAAAAAATGCAATTAAAATTTTTTTGGAATTTGATTGAAATAGGATTCCTGAAAAAAAAGACTATTGTAATAAAGCAAAAAAGATATCCCAGTGATACTCATTTTGGGGTAGAAATTTCAGAGAAAAATGATGTTTCGTACGTTAATTACCAAGACATAATAACAATATTACCACGTCCCGAAATAATTCAGCAAGGCTCCAAACTGTATAATAAATTAAAAAACTTAATTGACGAATTTGAATAAAATTAAAGTTAGTATAATAAAACATACAATACAGTAACATAAAAATAAAATAGTTACTTGTAAAACAAAAATATAAACCTGCTTTATTTCATGACCAATTTTCAATCGTTTACGAAATAAAGAAGGTTTATATTTTTGTTTTCAGGTATTTATTTAATTTTTATTATACTGATTTGTGTAAACAAGTTTATATTTTAAGTTTATTTTTAATTACTTATTTAGTTTTTATGCTATATTGTATTCCTTTGCCTTTTTGAATAAAATAATAATTCCTCTACTCGCCTCGGGGCCATTTCACGCATAACGGATAGGACAGTTGCCGTGTTTTTATTTACAAAATAATATTGTTCTATTATATTACCAATGTCAAATTTTTATAAATAGTTCTAAACTAAAGCTGTTTAACAAGGTTTTTATTTGGCAAAATTAGGTATCGTAGTTGACTGTTTAATTCCTTAAAAACTAATAATTTAAAGCGTAACGGACGGGACTTTGTAATAGTTTAGAACTATTTATAAAAATTTGACATTGGTAATATAATAGAACAATATTATTTTGTAAATAAAAATACGGCAACTGTCCTATCCGTTAAGCGTGGAATGGCCCCTCGTCATTCCTCTGGATATAGTTTTGTAATGGTACGATATACGGGGCAGTTAATTTTTAACATTTCTTAATTTATTATTTTACGGCTTTACGAAATATGAGACTAGTTTAAATATTTGTTTTAAAATTGTATTAGGTGTTAGGTATAAGTTTCACTTTAGAATTCGATACATTCTTTATTTGTTTATTATACAATATTAATTTATTAGTCCCATCTGGACGGTTACTTGAGGGTTCGAGACAGAAAGACCCAATAAGCAAGTTTTGGTTCATGTTCAGAGTCTTAAAAAATAAACATAAAAAGAGCGTGTTAAAAACCTAGAGAGACAGTATATTTTAGACAGTTGAAGGGATTAGTTGAATTCTTTAATTTTGTAACAGTTGGGTTTTGTTATTTGAAGGGACAGTTACGTGTTGCTATTTGAAGGGATTAGTTTAATTCTTTAATTTTGTAACAGTTGGTTTTTGTTATTTGAAGAGAGAGTTACGTTTTACTATTGAATTCTTTAATTTTATAAGGGAGTGAATTTAACAAATAATACATTGTTTTTTATATAAATTCAGTTTTGTGAAAGTGTTGTTTATTTAAATAGGTATGTCTTTTCTATATTTAGTTATTATAATCTGAGGTCACAAATATCATAATGAGTGGTTAATTATGTAATATTTAATTTAAACTATATTTTATTATTATTATTTCAACTTGTTCTATGTGAGAGAAATAATAAGCTGAATTATTTTATCTTAATGTTGGTGGTTGGACAACCAAATCATAATCATTATTTTATGTTTATAATTATTATATTTATATTACATTTACTTTAACATATTATATTGTAATGTAATTTTACATTTTACTACATATTTATATTTAACATTTTCATAGTGTATTTTGTACAGTTTATCTTATTTTATTTATTTGATGAATTGATATTCATTATTTAATATGGTGAGACTTGTTTCAAGTTCTTCATATCAAATGAGTTATTTAGTTAGGGAACTTTGTTGCCGGTTACTGCCGGTGAATAATCTTAGCAATATGATAATATAATTGATTATATTCATATTGATTACTTTGATTTTGTTGTATTATTTATATTGTTGAGATGTGCGACATATATGCATATCTGTATTGTATATGTGGGTTTTTAAGGTTTTACCTTATTAACTTAAATCAATCATACTTTTTAAATACAAATGTTTTTATTTATATTATTAATGTACAGTAACAATAATTAACTCTTGTATTAATTGCTTTTAAACTTATTTTAATTTAATACTTTTTCTTTGCATTTTAAATATCTTTTCAATTGCTCAAGTACTTACGTATCCAGAACCGTATTCACAACAAAAAGGGGTCCTAACTTAATTTCTTTAAACTAGACGATCACGTGTTTTGGCCAAAGGTAGTTTTTTTGTGGTTTTAATATTCTTTTTAATTATTAATGTGTGCCCCCCATGCCCCGTTCGTTACAGTTTTAACAAAAACATCGCAAATCTGCTCAAAAACAATTAAACTGTTTGATTTCTATTTGCAGGGTTTATTTTAAACAAAAGGTGGTATTTGCATACTTAAAAAATAAAATTAGAACAAAAAAACTATTTTTAAATTACTATATTAAAAATGATTTCTGTATAATCACCCATATATAGTGCTTAGGGTGCTTTTTTATTTTCAAACATTTTTTTTTACTCCAGCCACAAAATTTTGTTGTAATAATTAAAAAAATAATACCCTATAAGTATCATTTCTTATTATTAATTATAAGAAGGGGCCCACGAATGTAAGTTACATCTACGCTGTAATCGGCATTTTTGTAGATC